ATGTTCCTGACAGAAAAGAGAGGAAACAAATGTCTCTGTGTGGGTTCAGCTGGCACAAAGACAGCACCATGTAACACTGTTCATCCGGATAGCAGACATTTACTCATCCAGGGATCCCGTCAGCTCACCGAGGATCATCTAAGGAGAAAGTCTGACCGGAATTCCAAACCCAGTGCTTTAAATTCCCTAAAAAACTAGCCTAAAAGCCAAAGAATTAGCCCAAAAGCTTTTCTTTCTTTTTTTACTGAAAAGCAAAATAAAATCCTTTTAAAAATATGAAATAAATATGAAATAAAAACCTCCATGACCTCTTTGACGGTCTCTAGACCGCGTTTCTGTGACTTTGATGCTTATCGATCGGAGTCCGTTTGATGTGTTTTGGTGTTTTTATGCAAACAAGAAACGACTGAAGTTGCCTAAATAAAAACGTGTTTTTTCGTTTCCAACCCCCCAGTTGATCACCAGAGGTATTTAGGTGTTTGGAACTACTCAGAGTTTATTTGTGAAGTAGAAATAGCTTTCATTTCATTCATTTCCCAGAAAACTATCAACAAAAGCAGTTTGTTTTGGTATTACAGTCACGTGACTGATTTCCACCAATCAGACGGCGTCGGTCAGTCTGATTGGTGGAAACCTGTCTGTGACACACTAAATAACGCTCAAAAACACTAAATAAAACAGGAAAACTCTCAAATAAAGCAGACAAACAATTAAATAAAGCAGGAACACACTCAAATAAATCAGGAAAACACTAAATAAAGCAGAAAAACAATTAAATAAAACAGGAAAACACTCAAAACATAAAAACTCTGAATAAAGCAGGAAAACACTAAATAAAGCAGAAAAATAATTAAATAAAACAGAAAAAAACATTAAAATAATACAGAAAAACACTCAAAACATACAAACTCTGAATAAAGGAGGAAAACACTCACATAAATCAGAAAAACACTAAATAAAGCAGAAAAACAATTAAAACAGAAAAAAACATTCAAATAAAACAGAAAAACAGAAAAAACATAAAAACTCTGAATAAAGCGGGAAAACACTCAAATAAAACAGGAAAACACCAGAATAAAGTGTTTTATTTATTGTTTTTATATACAGGAGACGGTCTGACCCGGTTCTGCTGAGTCCTGACTGAGTTTTTCTGTTTGTTCTGTTTGTTTTCCTGCTCTGGTTCCTAAACTCTGACACAAACTCCAGCATCTGAGTCCAGAGAACCAGAGTTCTGCTTCTGCTCCAGAAGCAGCTCTGGTTTCCTCCTAAAGACTCTGAAAGTCCTCTAACTTTATTCCAGAGCTGCAGAAAAAGCCAGAAAGCTTCTCCTCTGAACCTGAAACAGGTTCCAGTCTCTTCTGAAGCTGTTTGCATTGTTGAACCCCCAAACAGACGT